GGAAAATGGGAAATGGGGCTGAGCAGAGGAGGGAGGGAATCGGGAGGGCTTACTGGGGGCTGCAAGAAAGCCAAAGTAAGCATGAAATAAACCCTCATCGTCCACGCAACCAGCGCAGCGACTATGTTGTCTGCCAGGAAAAACCAGGAGAAAACTTTAAGGAAAACTCCAACGAAAATTGAGATACACTTTCTACCGAAAAAGAGAAAAGTCTTATGAAAATTCAAGGAAAATTTATATTTTTGAAATTTTGGAGTGAAGCCAATAAAATTTAACTATAAAATATTCCTTCAATTTATTCAATTTTAATTTTACTTATTAACTAAAATAAAGACTTCATATTTCAATTAATAATGAGATTCGTAAACCCATGAGTTCTTTTTCTTATATTTGATTTTTTCTTTTAATATTTTTAAGCCTTGCAAATCTTGTTGTTAAATTGTCTTTGTAAAAAACTCTTTAAAAATGGTTTCAACATTTTTTTTTTTAAATAAGAAAATTCTATATTTATTTAATATATTTCTTAATTTTATTTTATATAGCAAACTCTGTCCAGCATTCAACCATTTCCCATTTGACTTTTCCATAACTTCCCTTTTTTTCACTTCAGGGAAAACCTTTGCAGGCCAACACACGCAGCGGACTCTATGAAGATTTACAGGTTTTAACGTTGCCAGTCAGCAGAATGTGTCTGTGTGCGAAGTGGGTGGGAGTGGGTGATCCTGGCAGGGTTCACTGTACAGTGTCGCGTCTGGCATTATTCGTGGCATGGCCCCATGCTTGGTTTCCTGTGCGCCCTGCCATGTCGTCATGCTATCAGAGCTGGCGACGCCGGAGATGGGTGTGTGTGTGTGTGGAAATGGGCAAAGAGGATACAAGGATACAAGGATGCACGGATACAGGGGCTCTCTCAGGATGTGAGCCTGAGGATGTGAATGTGGCCAGGAACTGAGACAGAGTTTATATCGATTTGTTACCCCGCTAAAAGAGACACAACTTTACCTCAAAACGAGTTTAAGAAAATCTAAAAAATTGGAAGCTTGGAAAAATTATATTGTTAAAAATAATGAACCCCTAAAAAACCTTTAAAAAATATATATAAATATTAATATAATATAATATAATATAATATAGTCTCCGATGGAGCATACAATGTGCTAATTGCCAGGGTAAACTCGTGAGGAGTATCACTTCCCTCTGGTTTCATGATTTCCAGTCGTATTTCTCCCGCTTCCCCATACATATTTGATGAGCGATAGCCCGCCCATAATTAGGTTCTACCAAACTGACTCCACCTCTTTCATTTTTCCTTTTCCCTATCTACCTAGAGTTGCATGCAACATTGTAGCCACACCGCTATCATAGTGCAGATACAACCCGGGGATCTGGGATCTGGGATCTGCGGCTTATCAGTGACCACTATCTGTCGACAAGTGCGTGCGACCTGGTAATAAACGGAGCATAAAACGGATACCTGTTCCGGTGTCGCTTTTGGAATGGAAAGGAAAATAATTAAGTTAATGCAAAATGCATTTTCATTATAATTGCCAGGGGGTAGTGCATGTGTGTTTGCAAGCTAAAAGCTAAAATCTATCACTTTTAATGATCACGCGTTTTGGAGTTGGAAAATTAAAATTCAAATAAAGGCAGGAAGTTGGCTTTTCTTGGGACTATAATTTGTAGTTTCCTTTCATTCTGAAAACCTGAAACTAACTTAATTTTAGCTTGGTTCTTAATTTAGGTTGTATTGTATGCTTAAGGTATATTTTTCATAATTTTAATAACTAATTTTACTCTGTGAAAGTTCCCCTTTCCGACCTAAATTTCATGATTTTATATAATTATTTTCTCAGCTGGTTATCTGCACCATAACCACCTTTCATTGTTTCCCTGCAATTGAAATTCAAAGTACACAAGTACACACATTCCCCAGCAAAAATGAACCAAAAATTAAGTTAAGTCAACCAACAATTTTGGTATCTTAACATCTCGTTAAGCAGCTTTCATTTTGTGAAAGGAGATCGGTGATCCTTTCAACGCTCTCTTTTTCTTCCCCAAAAAAAGGACCCGCCATGAGGGGACCATTAAATTCATTAAAAGCCTTTTTGAGGCCTCGTAATTTGCCTGTAATCCATCAGCGTGTCGCCATTGACACCCCGAGGGGGAGCCTTTTATATGTAATTTAATACATTTTAAAAACGAGTGGAAAATATGAATTACAATGTGAGCCTGGACATGTTAATAAGATGAAGTACGTGAATATGCACTTTGGCTGCAACTGGCAAATTCAATTAGGGACCCAGGACAGTCGCAATGCGCGATAAGTGGCCGCCACAAAAGCCGCAGACGAGGAGCATATAGCCTAGGCTTATCCTGGTTTGGGATCGGGATCGGCAGCTGCGGATTCATTGTGTGCGAAACGAGCGGAATGCGTAATTTAATAAACTTGCGAGAGGGCAACTAGGAGCAGGTTCGAGACATTTGCCACAACGCCTGCCAGCCATACAAACTAGTCCTTTTAATCCTGCTGCTCGCATTTGCGTAATAAAAACTTCAAGTTTATTGTTAATTAAAAGGCCAGGTCCTTTCGGTGTCCTGGCTCTGCTCCTGCAGGCCTTTTGACAGCGCAGCTGCTGCCCATTCGGGCCATGTCTATCAATGTAATGGCTCGGCCACTGACACAAACGTGATCTGTCCATAGCCCCAAAGTGTGGAAATTATAATAAATTTAGCTGCATTTGGCCCGCAGTTTCTCGCGTAATTATCCTGGCCAGTCAGTCCCGGACACCTTTTGGCTCTGGCCAGCGAGCTGCAATTGCATATTGCCATATTGACAGCTTGATGGATGTTTGGAGCCCGAGTAGTTTTACAGCGAATCGAAATTGGCAGACCCTGTGCAGGTAGGACACTGTTCAAAAGGATTCTCTACTTGAGATTTTTGGGTTTTTTTTTTTGGAAATTATTTGTTACTTTAAAAATAATTAATTAAGGGGTATAAATATTTTAAATATATTTTTTTAACAGCTATAATGCTTGGTAAACATTTTTAACATTTATTTTATATTTATTTACTATACGAATTTATTTCAAAAATATTTAAAATACAAAAAATTTGTAGCAAAAATTTTTAAGAAATATTTTCTAAGAACTTTAATTTTTTTCTTTATAAATATTTAATTATTTGACGGTTTTTAAATTTTAAATATTTTTTTAAAAGCAAATTATATATGCTAAACATTTTTCTATTTTATTTATTAAGGAGTTTATATTTTAAAATATTTAAAATCTTGAAATTACTTTGTAAAAATTTTGTAGGAATTATTTTATATTAATTAGTTAAAGAATTTTATTCTAAAAATATTTTAAATACAAAAAATACCCTTTAAAAATTTTGTACCTTCACTAAATATTTTATTTTCCATTTAAATACTGTAATATATTTTTTAAAAATAATTTCCCTTTAAGAAATCCCTTCTTTTTGGCCAAGTGCATTCCCAATACTGCCACGGGTGGTCCCCCGTCAAGTGGCTGGACATTAAGATTCGTCCGGCGACTACCGTTGGCCATTTAAGACAATAAATTTCATAAATAGCTTATGCATAAAATGCAGTTGCTCCGCTCTGGACCCGGCTGGCTCTCAACTCCCGCTGCGTTGATATTAATTGGACGACATAATTGCGGGGCCACGTTGGCCATAATAATGCCGAGTGGAGTTCGCGGATCGGCGGATCGCCAGTGAATCGGCGGTTGGCGGGGGGTAATTGCTCTGGAAACACGTTCCACTGGCAGCACTCCCCAATATATCGGCGAGGACTACCGGACTTTTGGCTGGAATTTGTATAAATTTGGCAAAGTTTTCGGAGGGAACCTCGCGTAGTACCATAATTATGGGTTTGTGGCACACACATGAACGCAATTATTGGGTGAGTCTGTGTGTGTCTGTGTGTCTCCGCGTTTAATTTATTGTCTTTGGCGCTGCCCTAAATCCAATTGTAATACAATACGCGGCATTTATCATATTTAACTACCGACTCCAAACGCACACACATCCTGTATTTATGGCCTGCTAATACGCGGTTTAGGTTTAATGAGGGCAGCGAGAGGGTTTGGGAGTAAGAATACTCTTTGCGAGTTGTAATTTGGTATAAAAATGCAAAAGATTGGAAATAAAATATATTTAGAGAGATTTTAAAAGATCAAGAAACACGTTGAAACCAAAATTATGACAATATGCTACTTTTTAAGAGGTTAAAAAAGTTTAAAGAAATTTCTTAAGCCTTAAGAAATAATTCTAGATTCATTTTATAAATATTACAAAATTTTATTAATATATATTTATCAAGAAAATATTTATAAGAAATTTCTTAAACCTAGTTATAGAGAAATAATTAATTCTAGATTCAATTTATAAATTTTAAATCATTTTATAAATATATATTTATCAATAAATAATTTCCTCCTATATTTTTTTTAATTCTCCCATTCAATTCTTATTTTCCCCGAGTTTTTAAAATTTTTTAAAGCCTTCTCACTTGGAGTTTGTTTGCTCATCATCAGCCTGAGATTGGTCCCTGAAACCAGTCAGGACATTGTTATGATTATAAATATTTATTTTATGCGCTGCTCTGGCCAGCTTCAGGCTTTCGCCTTCCAACTCCTCCGCCTTCGCTTTCGTCTCGAAATCGGTTAAATGGACTGTGCTGTTTATTTTTTCTTAGTCCCTTAATAAGCCTCATGAATAATGGTCGAATAAAAGAAGGCGTTGCTTGTTGGGGGGAGGCAGAGTCACAGGACATGTGTGTGTGTGTATGGTGGCATGTGTGGAGGGGTGGTCCCAAAAAAATAAGCAAAACAAAAAATATATAAAGAAAATGGCTTCCCAAAGATAAAGAAAGATATATAAAGGACAAGGCGTAGGAAAGAGGCAAACAGAAAACATGTCCTGGCCAAAAATTGCGCACAATTACGGGGCTGAAACGTACTGTACCGAACACACTCACCTCCATTCGCCCCTCTTGCCTTATCCAGGCGGAAAAGAATTATTACGTTGAATTTTCCCCGAAAAAGAAAATAACAGAAAAGGAAAAGAAAACGAAGCGAAAGAATTCTCATTTTTTGATAGCCGCACAGGAAGCTGCCGCAAGGATACAGAGAGGAAAATGGGGTCTTCAATATTCTAAATATTAAAAAAATCAAAAGAATTATTTTGTTAGTATTTGGAATATTTGTAATATATTATTTATTTAATAAAAACTAAAAATAACTGCTATAAAATGGATTTTGTAAACCCTTAACTGATGTTGCAATTTTTTGAAGTTTGTTTAAAAATCTCTTTGTAATAATTTAAGCTCCCTAAAATATATAAATTATATATTATATATATTTTTATATTTTTTATTACTTAAAATATTTCCCATTTCCTAGCATCCTTTTTCATCTCCGTGTAGCCAAGGACATGCCAGCCACATCGCCTGGCTCACGTGCATATGACAGTGGAGTAAACAATTTCATTTCGCGCAGCAGGACCCACAAGATAACTGCTACAAACGAGACGCAAGATGCTGCAGTGGCCAGGATACCGCGGAGATTGGGCCAGGGATAGCGACAAGGGGGTCAGGGCACAGGGGGGCAGCAAGGACAACGACAGCACTTGAGTTCTGTTTTCGAAGTCGAGCAAGAACAACAACCACCCGCAGCAGCCGGGGCAGCAGCATAAGAAGTTGCGTAAATATATTGTCCTGTCGCTTATTCCGGCATTTTGGGGGGAGATGGGTAGATCCGGAACAGGACTTCGGACTACGGACTACGGACTGTAGACTCTGGGACTGCGGTCGGCCGGGACCAATTCGAAACTCTCCTGCCAGCGTGCCGTGGGCGTTTTGGACGCAGTTAGTCGAGCGTGCCGGGCGGATTTTTTAATGCGTGCCTCTATAAATTTTGCACGCCTTTTGTAAATTTTGTGAAGGACCCCAGGACGGGCAGGGGGTGGTGGGTATCCTGGAGTCCTGGGCAGCTGTACACGTGGCCTGACCAGTTTTTTTTTCTTCTCTTATATTTTTTTGAAAACTGTCAAATTGTTGTTACTGCATCTTTGTCCTATGCTCGGGGGGTTTGTCTCTCAGTTTAGAGGAAAATCTTGTATATTTGTCAAGCGAAATGTTTATCCCCAATATTTTTACATAAATAAGATACACTTAAGGAAATATTTTACGATATTACAGGTTCATTTTAAGGGTGAAATGTGAATAAAGAAATTATTAACTATTTTATTAGATATTTTAACAAAGTAAATTGTTGTTAACATGATTGAAAAAGAGCTATAAATACTTGTTTATCTGTTGGAAAATCACTTTCTTTCGTAACAAAACTCTTTACGTAAATATCCTTTATTTAATTATAATACCTACACCTAACTTATACTAACCACTCATAACAGCCTTCATTTTGATCAGGTCGAGGAACTCCATCCACTCACCCAGATCCTCCCTCCTCCGCTCCTCGTTCTCCTGCCTTTCCCTGGCCATCTGCAGGTGCCTTTCGGGTTCGCGGGCGGCCACACAGAAGGCCAGCAGAAGATTCCGCCGGGTGAAACGGATCGTATAGAAGGCTGCATTTCTGGTGTAGAAGGATTTTATGAGAAAATCCTTCGCCTGCGGAATCTCCGCGTGCTTTCTACTCCTCGTTGACTTAGTGTGATGGAGAATTTTCTTAAAGTCCCATATCGTCAACTGACAATCCTGTCCGCCCGCCAGTAGCAAGTTGCTGTCCAAACAGAACTGAATCGTATTGATTGCCGACTTGTGGTGGCTCAGAAAATGAACCAACTTCTCGTTGGTAATGTCCCAGATCATGATGAGGCTGTCATCCCCGCCAGAGACCAAGTGGCGGCCACAAGCGGAGAAGGCCAGCGCCGTGACCCTTCCTCTGTGGCCAGCAAAGAGACGCACCTGGGCACCTTTTGGAATATCCCACAACCTAACCGTGGCATCTGCTGATCCCGTGGCCAAGTAATGGCGATTCGGATGAAACAGGCACACCTCCAGTTCGGCCAAGTGCCCCTTGAGAATCCGCACTGCTCGCTTGTTGTCCTGCACCCACACCCTGGCCGTGCAATCGTCCGAGGCAGTGGCAAAGTAATAACCCAGGGGGGCGTAGATCACACAGCACACGGGCGAGAGGTGGCCGGGATAGATGACCACACAGTTCCAGGACATCAGGCACCACAGTCGCATACTGCAATCCTCCGAGCAGCTAAGTAAGTACCGATCTTCTGGGTTAAAGGACAACCTGTAGACCGCTCCCTGGTGGCCTCGGAGCGTGCGCCGCGAGTACTTCTTGGTGGGATCCAGCATCCCCTTGTCAATGCCCGCCATTCCCGTGTCCAGAGCCTTCAGCCAGTGGGCCGGCTTCAGTTGGACCAGCTTCGAGGACTTCAGCGAGAAGATGTGTATGGAGGAGCTGACGGTGCCCACGGCCAGCATGCCCACGCCTTCCGAGAATGTGGCACAGGTCACTACCTCGTCGCAGTTTGGGGCAGTGTACACGTAAGCGGAGGGAAGATTATTCCTATCCAGCTTCTTGCGATACTGCTCGTCGGTCTTGCGTCGCAGCAAATCCATTCTCTTGGGCGTCGGCGTGTAAATCTTCCCAGTGGGCGGCAGGTGAATATTCCTGTCCGGCAGGGAACCCTTTTTCCTTCGCCTGGCTCGCAGCAGGGGTCGCGAGGTATAGTCTGTCTTGTGCAAGGGTTCCGGGGCAGCCCAGAAAATGACCTCTAGAAGAGGCTGTCCCGGGGCAAACCGTTGCTTGGGCTCATCCATTTCACTGTACCTCCTTACAAGAAAATGGGTGAGCACCTTGTCCTGCTGCGCCTTGGTCCAGCCCTCCATGTGCTCCACGAACTGGGTGTAAGCTCCCGCTGACATGTGCATCTCCAGCTTCTCAAAGCCAGCGAGTAGCTTCCTGGCCCGATGGGGTACCTCTGCCGGCCTGCAGATACTCAAGAGCTTAGTAAATCTGGGGGTAAAGGAGTCATCCAACTGGCTGGTAAATCGATTTAGAAACACTCTCGCCCGCGGAAAGTTATCGCTGGCCATCATCTGCAGGTAGGTCAAAGCGATCAGAGGGTATAGTAGCAAGTATATCTCATATTTGTGAATGCTGGGTGCCAGCTGAATGAGCTGCTGGAGCTGCTTGATGCACTCCTCGTACTCCAAAAACACGCTTTCATCCTTGACTACCAACAACCTGCTACTCGTTGTGCTGCCAATCTGGAACTGTACAATGTCCTCGTAGAAATCCAGGCCATTACGCTTGGCGTCTTCTCTGCCGGAATCTTCTCCCTCGTCGGAATCCTCACTCCGGCTGTCGTATGATGATTTCTCGTTCTTCCTCAGCTTTTCCTCTTCCTTTAAAATGGCCTGCAATTCCTCTTCGGGTATTTCGCCCTTGTCAATGGGTCGCTTGGCAGTGTCTTCCCAATATTTAAATTTTTTCTTGCCTTCTGAGGGGTAAAAAACCTCTGGATACACGCTGTTAGCTTCAGAATTTGGCATAAACTCGGCCAAACTGTCAATGGATTCCGATTCACTTTCGGAGAGTTGGGCCTTATCTTCGAGGGGTTTTGATTCACACTCCCCCTCTGATAGGACCTCTTCCTTACTGCTCAAGAAGAGGAGGATAGTAAGTAGGGCTACAGATATTTTCTAGATTTATGCAACCCACATTTTTATAGGAACTACCTCGGGAACATCCTCAACAAGATTGAAATCCATATCATAGAGCGGCATAGAGGGCAGGGGTCCCACTGAGATGGGCATCGGATGGTAGAAGTTATAGCTGGTTGGTAGAGAAACCCATTTAATTTTTTCTTTAAGAAAAATAAGTATGATCACTCGCACCTCTCATGTTGCTCCGCATTGTCCAACTCATCGTCGCTGGAATTTTCGGAGGTTGATGGAAAATCAAAGCCTAAGGCAAATGATTATATTCTTAATAAATTCTGCGGAATCAGATCATATTATATTTTGATTTTAGCTTACTGTCTGAAGAGGAATCTTTCGAATCTCTGTTTTTCGACGATTCCGAGCTGCTTGACTTTGGACTTTCAGCGGCTTGAGATCTTTTGATATCCGGTTCCGGCGATTCCGGAAAAATCCTTTCGTGTGTTGGCCTGGGACTTTCAGCAGCATTGTTTCTCTCGGTTTCAGAATCCCACTCTTCCTTAAAACTCCTTTCGCTTTTGGGACTCTGTTGATTTGCTCCATTTGGTGGATCTTCGTAGGTTTTACAAAACGGTTTTCTTTCGATATTATTGTAATCCACTAATCTGCCATTTATGGTCTCCGCGACAATCTCGGAATTGTCGGAATCCGAGGAAATGGTTTCAACATCCTCGTTGAGAGTCGTCAGAACATTCTGAATATATTTTCTATCAGGATCCTCGTAGGAATCAAAGATGACATCCAAGGACGGACCTATATTATTACCTTCTATAGGTGCTATAGGTGATACCACCGGCTGGCGGTTAAAAATCTGTTTCGCATGCTGTTAAAACGTAATCATTGAGCAAAAAACGAAGCAAGTAGGTGTGTGTAAGTTAGGCCGATGTCAGAGCAGTTGTTATGGAATCAAAGTCACAAAATCACAACCGGTAGGAAGGGAAGGTTGGAATAATGGGGAGCTCACTTGGCTCAATGCCTCGGCTCTACCAACATCTCACTTGGTGTTCGGCTCCCGAAAATTATCGCTTTTCCGCGCTCACACTCTGACATCGGGCCCAGAAAGATGAGTTCGCTTTTCTTACTTTAATTTGTTTTGCTCTGGTTACTTTACTCAGCTTATACATTCCTTTTTTTTGTGTCGAAATTTGACAGCTCCAGTTTCCAGGGCTGCAGATAACAACAACTATTAGAGTGCCCATATTTAGTTACAAAAAGTGTGGCCAGCTCGACTCTCAGTGATATTTATTTTTCCTGCTTCTCCCGAGTTTTTGTCGGTTTTTCATAAACATTTTTTCCCGACATGACGCGACCGCTGATCTAAAAGAAAATGCTGGCACAGCATCACATGAGGGCGCAGGATTCCAAGGGCGGGTTCAAAAAATATACAAAAAAAGGGGAAAGAGAGACCGTGGTCCATGGGTAAGAAAAAAATTAATTTGCATACCCAATATTCAACGGATTTGCCGTGGCTTCTGTCCGTTTGATACCCATCAAAGGGAAAGATAAAGAAGGGTATATGAGTGACAAAAAAAGGGGTTACCTAGAGGGATTTATATAATTAAAATAAATTTATTTTTAATAAAGATTTTTCCCTAAATTAAATTCCTTTTAAAAAAGTTAAACAAAGTAAGCCATTTAATAAGAAAAATTAAGAAGTGTCACTTTTAAATATAAATCAAAGAAATAAGTTGCCTTATAGCTCAGGCCACAGCCTTTTTGAAACTGAATATGGGTAAATTTCTACTTTGACAACTAATTCTTGGGTGTTTTCCACTTCGACTACAGTTCAGTGATTTTTTAAAATTTTTTCCAGAGCTCACTTGTTAGTGGAATTGTGCGAGTATGCTGGCGAGCTCAACCCGCGGATGTGTTTGGAATTTTTGCTGTAGTTCCCCGGCAATATGTTGAGCCCGGCAACTCACTTTGCAGCAGGACTCGGGCCAAAGACACCAAAAAAAGCAAAAGGATATACAAAAAAACTGGCGACAGGACAACCCGCAGATGAAACGCATTTCGAGCTGCATATTGTTTTGTAATTTCCACCATGATTTATGACGCTCTTTGGGGTAACAAACCACTTTAAAACTTTAAAATCGGTCTGTAATATATAGTCATCCATCTGGATGGGTATGTGTGTCAGTGTTAGGAGGGAAACAATGGAAAACAAAGCCTCATTATGGGCAACAACAATTGCCAAATCACTTGATACGTAATGCTGGCCATAAATAAATCACACTGCAGCAGCATAATCCATTGTAAAGTGTCGAAAAACTGCAATTCAAATGCAAATCAATGCAAATCGATACTTGAATCATCACAGCACAGACTCACACAAACACCCAAAACCCAAAACCCGACCCATGAATGATTCATGCAGCCGACGCACGCGAGCAACATTCAAATGCAAATGCAAAAACACCGAATGCGAAATGCAAAAATTATCCGAAAATGCAAATGGACAAAGTGCGAAAATGCGAAAAGGGGAAAATGCTGCCGGGGAAGAGGGGAAAACCCGCTGGGAGGGCAACAATCAAATCAAAATAAATGCAACGCCTGGAAAACCCTAAAAACTAAACTGCAACAAAGGCCAAAAAATAAACACACGCTGCAGACAAAGCCTTGCGGATTTTCGCACTTCCGGTTAACTGTTGCTAATTTGATTAGGGAGTTTTTCCTGCGGAGATGGGGGGCGTGGCCAGCGAAAAGGCCATAAACATTTTTAGCTGCCGCTGATTTCGTTTTGGCCTGCCAACTTATGCAAATTATCCTGTGTGATTTATGCCCAGCATTTTCCTGCACAGAAACTTTGCTCCTTGGGGTGTTGCCGTAAATTGAATTTCATAAAATACTGTAGGCGGAACTCTTTACTAGAGGTGTGTTAAGGTATGAAGAAAAAGGTGGGCCTTGAGCTGCTCTTGTTATATTTAATTTATATTTATACCCTTGCAGGGTATTATAATTTCAGTCAAAAGTTTGCAACGCAGTGAAGGAGACGTTTCCGACCCTATAAAGTATATATATTCTTGATCAGCATCAACAGGGGAATCTTTCTAGATATGCCAGGAAGAAATTTATTTTTTGGCCATTTTTGAAAAATTTTATAAGGGGTTACATCATTAAAATTTTTGATTTTAATAAAAAAAAGAATTTTCAAAATTTTAAAATAAAGTATGCAGATTTATTAACTGTAGAAAATCTTGCACAAAACAGTTTTCCGATTTAAAATTAATGCTCTTTTGGCCGAGTTATGTTATTTTTAATTAAAAAAAAAAATCAAGAAGTTTTTTAATAAAAAAATCCGATTTTATAATACAAAATAATATTTTTCTAAGTCAAGGAATCATTTCCGGCCCCATAAACCATATATATTCTTGATCAGCACTAACATGCGAATCTTTCTAGATATGTCCGGAAGAAATCGATTTTTTGGCCATTTTTGCGAAATTTGATAAGGGGTTACATCATTAAAATTAGCAGAAATGGCAAAAAATTTTGATTTCTTAAAATTTAAAATTTGGTATGCAGTTTTTTTAAATTAATAAAAACTAACAAAAAACTGCTTTCCGAATCGAAATTAATGCATTTTTGGCTTAGTTATGAGATATTTTAATTGTTACAAACTTTGGCTGGCCAAAGTTAGCTTTCTTTCTTGTTAGATGTATATTATATCTATTTTTCTAAAATAAAATAAATTATATATGGATTAATTAAGCTTAAAATATATTAAACAATTATATTCTTAAATAAATTCTTTTTTCCATTGTAAACTAATTTCACACGCAACTCCTCAAGGCTGCCGCTGCTCTTTTATTTCTTTATTTTTGTTTTTTCTGTTTTTATTTTCTCTCTGAACCCAACCCAAGGCGTTTTATTTAAATCTTCATCACCATGCAGACACATTCAATTCAATCATATCCTGTCATGCTCCCCCCAGGAAACTGGTTCTTGTGCCTTTCTTGCCTTTCCTGTCCCGGGCATTGTCCGTGTCGATTGTCATGCTAATTGCGGCAAAAAAGGATTTCCAAGATTCCCAGAATACCCAAGACTCCCAGAATTCCCAGGTAGAAGCTGCCACCAGAACTTAGTTTATGCCCAGACATTGTCGCGTAAAGTGCTTCGCAGTCGTTAAATAAACCCATAAAACAAGCAATCAGCCATGGAAAACAAATAAAGCCCACCCACAAAATAAGCTGACAAGAAAAACGGCAAGGAGAAATATAAAAAAAAAAAAAAATAAATAAAAAAATAAATAAGAAATGAAAATGTCGCCGGGCGTTAGGCAAAACCACGAGCATGACAAACATTAACACGGCCTCTGACGCAATTTAACACCAATTACAATATCCGTTACATCTAATTATTGTGCGGAGGAAGCCAAGGAAGCCACTGGGCAGCCGGTCGGCCGTCTTTGCCGACTAAATTAAAGAAAAACACCGCTCGTGCACCCCAGCCAGGACATGGGTGGCGCCATTTGCGGTTGCCAGGACATTAGCAATGGGAAAAACTGTGGAGGAAGCAGCAAATGGCGGCCATAAAACAACAGAGAAAACAGGACCCATGAAATATGAGCAGGAAGCGAAAGGAAAACAGTGTCCTGGTGCGGAGGGGGGGTCATTTCTTAATTTCCAACAATTTACGCTGAAAGCTTTCAGCGCTCAAATGACGCACAGACGGCAGCAGGACTCGCAGTGTCCTGTTTTCACTCTCTGTTTTTTTTTCTTTGGGTTCTCTACCGTCTTGGCGACGATGATGATCTAACGCCATTATTTCCCCGGCAAACGACAGGCAGTTGTTAATGGGGCTTACCACTTAAGCGCGACGGCATAAAATAAACACGCGGTCTGTCCCCTGTATTTGCATCGTCCTGCGATGCGGATGTCCTGGCAAATTAATTAACATGGCGCTCGGCTAGCTGCCAGCATTCTTAGCACTGGAAATTATAGGTGCTACTTGGTACTAATTTATTAAATTAAAAAGTCTGAGTGGGCTTAAAAAATAACTTTGTAGTTTAAACATTAAATAAATATTTATAGCCTTAAAAAACTATTTAAAAAGTCTGCGTATACTCAAAAAATATTTTTCTGGTTTAAAAATTAAATTCATATTTATAATCTTATAAAAAATAACCTAATTCTATTATTTCTAAAAATTTCTATTTCAAGAACTCATTTAAACTAATAGTTTTACTATTTTTAAATAATTTAATAATTTAATTTATAATTTAAAACATTTTATAAATATTTTTCTACCGTTTAACATGAAAATATCTTCTTGTGCAGCTTTGTTAGCTGTTTTTCCCTCAATTCATTCTCCTGTTGTTCTTGTCTTTTGGCGGCTTTTTTCTTGGGCTTAATTGTGGACCAACGTCTTTTGGTCCTTCAGGGCGTTTTGTCCTGTTTTCTCCTCCCAAAAAAAAAAATATATAGAAAAAAAATTCTGGAACTGGGAAGTTTGCCTGTGGCAGTTTAACAATTAAGAAACGTTTAAAGTTCGGTGAAATTGGGGCGCGGCTTGCCTTTGATTACAAGCAGCCGAGCCGGATCTGAGGCCAAGTCCTTGCCACCGGCAGGACATTGGACATACGCGGCACGTTGCCTGCATCCGTTTGACACCTTTGTCGGGCCCAAAATGGCACAGGAAATGAGCTGGCCCGTACGTGACTTGTTTTCCCTGTTTTCAAGCAAATTGCAAATGTAAAATATATTTATATTTCAAGCTTCCAAAAGGGGCAAAGGACAAAAGGGGTCCCCGCACACTCTTTAACCTAAACCGAAGGCCGCTGTTTAAAATTCCAAATTTGTGCACTCGCTCAATTTCCTTCCATTCCCCAAATGTAATTACCCAAAAATTTAAGAAAAAAAAACCCAGAAGGTTAGTCTTTCTGATTTGACACGAATTTCTTGGCCAGAGTCCCCCGGAATAATTAGTGTCCATTGAAGGGGCGGCCGTTGGCTCGGTTTTCCTTCATCTACGTGCCAAACACAACGCCCTGCGGCAAGGACGAACACTCCTTGGAGGCCTGTCCTCGTCCTTGTCCTCGGTCTGGGTCTCGTTGTCGGTCCCTGGGATAATTGCAATTAAAATGTTCGCCGGGAAGTGCAAACACTTGGAGGCAATTGCCGTGCACAGAAATAATAACAGGCAGATTGCGCAAATTAAAATATAATTAGAGACAAACAACCAGAGTACAGGAGGAGTTGGGGCAATGATTATGAGTATTTTTCGGAAATTACTGGGTAAATATGAGCTTAAATTGAGTGAGAGATTCTTGTTTTTTTAGGGAAAAGTAACAGAATTAATTACATTTTAAAAATGGAGTCCGAAATATTTTCATATATCAGGAATTTTTGTAAGAACAATTTTATATAATGAGAAATTATGCTATTAAGCCAAACAATTGCTGTAGGTATAATAATTATCAATTATTAAATATTAAAAAAAATATTTTACCAAAAATTTAATGTTTTTTAATCAATAAACCTCTTTATTTCCGACTTGTTAGGTATTTCTGAACTCAAACTTGCTTTCATACCAACAATTAAATAAAAACCTGCTAAATATTACTTAATCACCCTACAAAACCCACTCCTTTTCCCTACAAAATTACAGTGTACTACTGTGCCGCCCTCTGGTGAGCGTTGGCCGCGAAATGCCACGCACTTTCCACTGGAAGAAGTTTTGTGTTCGCCTGGAAATTAGCATGAGAAGGCCCACCTTTTTTTCTTCCTTCGAGGGTTGGAACACACGCAGAGCAAGAGAAAAAGAGAGCAAAAATACAGACAGGACTTGAAGGAATATACAAATACCTGGGCAGGGGAAACACCTGGTTTTTTGAAGGGGGCGGGAAAAGGGAGGTACAACTAACGAGCAAGTAATTTTGTGGGCCAACTGAGCTGCGAGAGCTTCTTTAATGTTGCCTTGCCAACTTTAAGCCCAAGCCGGGCGGGCCATCCACATTAAGTATACGCACCGTGGAACTTTGAGGGGTGGTGCTTTTTTTTGCTGGGAGAGTAGGCCTGTGAGGGTCGTTTAAATTTTTTTTTTTTTTTTGGCAGGCCACACCTTCCACGCTCGCAGGGGTGACTAAACAACTGCGTGCGCCGAGCGTTCGCTTTTACTTTTGTTTGCCTGGATTTTCGATCGAAAAACACACACATTTATATATATATATATTTAGATGTGCAAAGAGAGGGGGAGGTGGGGTGAAAATAAAATAAAATAAAAGCGAAATGAGGAAGAACGAACGAAATTTGTTTCGCTGAAAATCTGCTTTATGAAATGTCAAAACTTCAAAGCAAAATTCAAACTTAAATGCAAGAAAATGAGAAAATATTCACTTGAGTGCGTATGCGCTGGCGACGACGCTTCTCGTCCTGTTTCCTGATTTCCTTCCCATTGTCCTTTCACTGCCCCTGTAGCTGTTGTTGTTGTTGTTTGTGCTGTTGCTGTTGCTGCTGTTTGAACTGTTGTTGATAGCCTTTATTAGTTGTTGGCCCGAAAGCTTAGGCGCTTACGCATTTCCCCGCCACTTTTACTTCCTGCCCCGATTCCTGCTTTCCGCAAATAGATATAATTTTTTTGTGCTCTGCCTTCCGCATTTCCTTCTTTTTTTCCGGCAGGCAAATTTTATTAAAAAATTTTATATTAAATCAATTGCGTGGAGATTTTCTTCTTATATTCTGTTTTTTTTTTTTCCTGGCCGTGGGGGTGTCAGATGTGTTCATGCATAAAGTTGTTTTGGCCAGGAGGTGGGTTGTAACAAGATGGGTTTGTGAACCAATCGATAGGGAGATAACTAGGCATTATATAATTTAATATAAATATTATATAAAAAGTAAAATATTTTCTAAAGCTACAAGAATTCAGAAATATAAGATTTTAAATGTAATATAATTTTAGTATTTAAAAAATTCAAATGTAAAATATTTTCTATATTCAAAATAGAATGAATAACATATTAGGAGGTGATGCTGACGTTTATAAAACCTTTAAAAATATTCTAAAATTTATTTATTAACATTTTCAAAGGTTTTGAAATTCCTAGAAATTTTTGGAGTACCTTAGATGATTATAACCAAAAAAAATAAATTGTAAATATTATTTTAAATATATTTAAAATATGGTTAAATATATGTATATTCCAATATCTACTCTTTTAAACGATTTTTATAAATTTAATAAATTGTAAATATTATATAAAAAATATTTAATAAATACCTATTAAAATATTATGTAATATACCCATATCTACCGTCTTGAAAGACCTTTATAAATTTATTATTAACCCTATAATGACCCCTACAACAATTATTTCCCTAAATACCTTAATTAACTTGTCAATATTTAGACATAAACTGGCTGCCTAGATTCACTATAAAAGCGGTATTTCCCTTGGTCTGGAAAACAGTTTATATAAATCGTTTGCTTAGTTAAAAGTTGTCCTTAAAACATGACCAAGGTTGTGCCCGTGGACCGTTATAGAAAGGTCATCTCCCTGATCCGCTTCTGTGTGGGTTTCTGCGGCAACGATGTGGCCAATCCGGAATTTCGAATGTGGTGGCTCACCTACTCGGTGATAGCAGCCATTTGCTTTTTCTTTGCCTGCACCATTTACACCATCTATGTGGGTGTGGTGATCAATGGAGACCTCACTGTCATCCTTCAAGCCATGGCCATGGTGGGATCTGCAATCCAGGGATTAACTAAGCTGCTGATTACAGCTAATAATGCGCCTTTGATGAGACATATTCAGAATAGTTATGAGGAGATATATCGGTAGGAGGGATTTATTATTAAATATTAATTTGATTTTACAGATTTTTCTTTTGATTTTAAATATTTCTATATTTTCTTTATATATTTTTTAAAATATTTTCTATATAAACCAGTGACTACGGCCCTCTTGGCGGTGAGTATGTCAAATGCCTGGAGAACAGAATTCGTACAACCTGGAAACTGATTATCGGCTTTGCTGCCGTCTATGCTGGAAGCCTGGGCCTAATCATCACCTTTCCCATCTTCTATCTGGTGGTCTTTAATGAGAAAGTCCTGGTCATGCAGTTCTTTATGCCACTGATAGATCACACCACCGATAGTGGCCACAAGCTGCTAACGGCGGTGCACATAATCCTAATCACTTTCGGTGGTTTTGGCAATTATGGCGGCGATATGTATTTGTTCCTTTTCGTCACCCATGTCCCCCTGATCAAGGACATTTTCTGCGTAAAGCTTAAAGAATTCAACGAGGTGGCTGTCCAGGGAAAGGAGTATAAAAAAATGAGGGAGCTTCTGTTCGATCTGGTGGATTGGCATCAGAAATATGTGAGGTGGGAAAGTGTTTCTTTGGTTGCAGAAAAATTCTTTAAAATATATTTTCCAGCCTTCTTAAAGCTTTAAATAAATTCTTAAAATTGTTTTATTTTAGCCTTCTTAGAGACACTGAAAGGATCTATAGCATAGTCCTGTTTGTGCAGCTTTCAACGACCTGTGTGAGCCTGTTGTGCACTATTTCCTGTATTTTCATCAAGGCCTGGCCCGCAGCCCCCATGTATCTACTGTACTCTGGCATAGTTCTCTATACCTTCTGTGGCCTGGGCACTGTGGTGGAGAATTCGGTAGAGTTTACATTTATTTGATAAAAATATATCAATATATAAATGTGTTTCTTTTAGAACGAATCCTTTACCAGGGTTATCTACACCAATTGTTTGTGGTACGAGCTGCCTGCCAAGGAGGAAAAGCTAATTATCTTGATGCTGGCCAAGGCCCAGAACGAAGTCTGCTTGACAGCTGCGGATATGGCACCATTATCCATGAATACAGCCCTTCAACTGACCAAAGGCATATATAGTTTTAGCATGATGCTTTTTAATTATTTGGGAAAAAAGGAGTAGCCTGCTTATAGAGTAGTAAAATATCTTGAAAATATTTAGGGATCAACCCTATTATTAATCCAAAAAGAGTAGTAAAATATCTAAAAGAAAAAGCAACTCGTAACAAAAAGTAGTAGCATTTGAATTAGTTTTATCAGAATTTTCACATCACAAATATTATACAAATATTCTAAATAAAATAATCATTATAATATCTATAAAATCCTGGTTTCTTAATAATAATTCCTCTGTAAATAAACTCAGCTGTCCATCATTCTAAGCCCACCTACAGTTGCCTCCTCATAAATCGCCTTGAGGAGTGAGTTTTTGCTGATTAATTTTTGCTCTTTGTCTAATGAACTTGCCGCAAAAAAGGAATTTAATAAACAGCAACGCCACACTTTTATGGAACCACAAAAAAAAATTATGTCTGCTCGGCCACAGACCATGAAAAATAGTAAAAAATAAAGAAGACGCTGTAAATGAGGGAAAAGTATGAAAAAGCATCGCTGGTAAGTTGTAAAAATTGTCTTTTAATGCCGCCCAAATCCAGCAGATTGCCACGTAGTGCTAATAAAATAAAGTTATGTCCGGGCATAAAGTACAAAAAGCCCGCTCCCGAATAGTGTGCTACCGCTGCCAGGCGCCTCAAGTAAAAATCCACCGAAATCCACACAAAAAATGGCGTTGAAAATTGAGTGCGCGGGCGCAGGACACAGGACGCAGGGACAAGATGGATGATGGGAGGCGGCGGCGGTGAGGTCGGTAAACGCATCATTAATCAAATGTCCGAAGCGTAAGCACCGTTATTCATCATTGCTTATGGATAAGGTGGCTGCCCATCTACTCCCCATTCTCCATACTTGAAGCAACTCCTCATCCCCAAGTGGAAACCCCTCAAGAAAGTCCGCATGAGTTGCCATATTCCGGTAATGAAAAAATTCTTATGGGGTTTATTTTTAAGGGAATACTGAATGGGGAGTACTATATCTAAGGTTTTTTTTTTGTGTATTTTTCATTAAAAATAAATTATTAAATATTATTTATATTTTTTTAAGAATTCTAAACATGTGTCAATAAAAAATATATATTTTTTTGTGATTTTAAATTTAAAAAATTAAATTTAAAAAAGTTTAATCTTATATTTCAATTATATAAATTTTAATTAGGCAAGAATAAATTTATTTAAAAATATATATTTATATTTGAATTTATGTACATTTTTTTAAGAGCCTCATAAACACATTTTTATATAATTTTATTTATTAAAAACTTTAAACTTACTAGTTCTTCATAATAAAATATATTTTATATCTTTTAATAATTTAATAATTTATTATAAAATACTTTAATATTGTATTTAAAATGTATTTAATATTTTCCTTTTAAATTTAAGGACAAAATCTTCATCCACAAATTAATAAATATTATTTTTATAATATTTTCCTAGTTCTTGAGTTCCTTAAGTAAGAGTTCCTAGTAATTTATCTTCACAAAATTACCCTCTAAATGACACACACAAATTTCCTTTTTCTCTATAATTTCTATAGAATTTGTAGACTTTTGACAAACCCACACACACACACACGTGTCCTGAGCCCAAGAAAATCCCGAAAAAAGTGAACTCAAGTCCAAAGCCTCCTCCTCTTACTAGCCCACCCTAATCACTTTCTCAGCCACCCTAATGGCGCATATCAATTTGGCTCAGCCACGTGCTGATGATTTTTTTCCTTTGCTTTTCTCGAATTTTTTTATATATATTTATTTTCTTTTTTTTTTCTGCAAATGTTTGGCTATATTTTTGGAGAGCTTGTAGTGTATATTTTTGCGGCCTGAAAGTGAATTTCGTGGGTGTTGAAAATACCAAAAGTCACAGTGATTAAAATCCCAAAAAGAAGGTCACACTTATCTAAGACCTTTTTGGCTTCCTTTCGTATGCTCATGCGTACCCGAATTAATTGCTTAAAGATAACGAGAGCGTGCGGTTGTGAAAAATAAAGAAGTTTAATTAACTAAATCTATAATTAAAGTGTTTTTACTATTTGGCAAATCTGGCTGGCGGCTTCTTGGAGTTTGTATAAACTCTGTTTTATATAAATCTCATAGGTTATGGGCCCAGTCACAATTTGCAGCTAAGTGCTATAGTGAAATGCTTTAATTGTTAAAGAATAATTTTTAACAAATAATAAAAGTGAAATAAAAAAAAAAGTGAACAACGTACATATAAATATAACATATAAATATAACGGCGCACCAAATTGGCGTACATTTTTCATTTTCAGTGCGAGTGTTAGAGCAGGATAGCAACACAAATTCTAAGAAGCGCAATTTTTCTCGGAAGATGGAAAAAGGAAAGAGAAACATAATACCTTTTAACGGGGAAAAGTATTCTATATGGAAGTTTAGAGTTAGGGCTTTATTAGAGGAAAACGAGTTGCTGAAAGTAATTGACGAGAAACCAAGTGATGAAGAAAGTGAAGAAGTGAAGCGAGCAGAGAGAAATGCAAAGAGTCTTATAATAGAATATTTGAGTGACTCTTTTTTAGTGTTTGCCAATAGTGGGAACTCGGCTAAGGAGATTTTTGAGAATTTGGATAATATTTACGAGCGTAAAAGCCTGGCATCTCAACTTTCATTACGCAAACAATTACTGGCTTTAAAATTGAAGGGTGACTCTCCGCTAGTCAACCATTTTCGTTTATTTGATGATTTGGTTACTGAGTTAGTTGCAGCGGGAGCGAAAATAGATGAAATGGACAAAGTGTCTCATTTGCTGCTAACACTTCCAACTAACTATGATGGAGTAATAACAGCGATAGAAACTCTCTCTGAGCACAGTTTAACATTAGCATTCGTAAAGACTCGGCTTCTTGATCATGAAATTAAACTAAAAGGAGTTGGCAAGGACACAAGTGCAAAAGTGTTGCAGGCTATAGGCAATCGAGAGCCTAGGGATAGCACAAACAAAAACAAAAAATTAAAATTTGTGAAGAAACAATTTCCGAATAAGATAAAGCCTAAGCTGAAGTGTTTTCATTGTGGCAAATTAGGCCACATGAAGAAAGACTGTTTCTTCTTAAAAAGGCAGGCAGGAGGCAACCAGAATATTCATGCTCAGAGTAATGTTAGAGAGAGACAGGCCCAGATGGCAACAGCAACGCAGCCAGAACGCTCGTTTGCATTCATGACGAACCTAGCTGTTAGAGAGAGACAGACTCAGATGGCAGCAGCGCAGCCGGACTGTGCTTTTGCTTTTATGATGAAATTAGCTAATTCCAGTGAACAGACAGACGGCGTAGATTTTATATTAGATTCAGGGGCGTCAGATCACATAGTAAACGACATAACTTTATTTTCTGAGTATGAGAATATAAATCCGAGTGTAGCGATTGAGATTGCAAAGCGTGGAGAATTTGTGTATGCTACTGCGAAAGGACTAGTTAGTCTTAACAGTTCCGGGAAAAACATTACATTACAAAATGTGCTGTATTGCAAGGAAATCCCGCACAATTTACTATCCGTGAAAAAGATGCTAGATGCTGGAATGTCCGTCGAGTTTAATCCGGATGGTATAAAAGTAATCAAAGACGGTAACTTGGCATTTGAAGGGTATTGTAAGTATAATATACCAATTGTGAAATTTTATTTAAATAGAAAAGTATATACATCCAAAAGTTTAAATGATGCAGAATATCGCTTGTGGCATGAAAGGTTAGGTCATATTAGTGTAGGAAAATTCTTAGAAATTAAACGAAATAGCTTGTTTGAAGATGTTGAACTTATTAAAAACGTACAGCTAAATAAAAATGAAATATGTGAGGCGTGTATTAACGGAAAGCAATCTAGGCTTAAATTTGAGAAATTTAAAAACAAAGAAAATATTGATCGCCCATTGTTCGTAGTTCATTCTGACGTTTGTGGTCCGATTACGCCCTCAACTATTGATAATAAAAACTACTATGTAGTATTTATTGATCAGTTCACACATTACTGCGTGACGTATTTAATAACTTATAAATCAGATGTGTTTTTTGTATTCAAAGACTTTGTGGCGAAAAGTGAGGCTCATTTCAACTTAAAAATGGTAAATCTATATATTGATAATGGCAGGGAATACCTCTCTAATGAAATGCGTGAGTTTTGTGTAGAAAAAGGTATCAGCTATCATTTAACGGTTCCTCATACCCCACAATTAAATGGTGTGGCAGAGCGGATGATTAGAACAATCACCGAAAAAGCTCGCTCTATGATTAACTGTACTAAACTTAATAAAAGTTTTTGGGGTGAAGCTGTTTTAACAGCAACTTATTTAGTTAATAGGTCCCCAAGTAGAGCGTTGGAAAATATAAGAAAAACACCATATGAGATGTGGCATAAAAAGAAGCCAATATTAAAGTTTTTGAAAGTATTTGGATCGACTGTATACGCACTAAATAAAGTGCGTAAGCGAAAATTTGATGAGAAATCTATTAAGACTATACTTGTCGGGTATGAGCCAAATGGCTATAAATTGTGGAATGAGGAATCGAGGAAATTTATGATAGCTAGAGATGTAGTGGTGGACGAAAAAGGACAAAACTCTATGACTTTAAATGAAAATGACTCTGTGGTAAAACATAATGAAGTTAGCAGAAGTCATGATTCTCCAATTGAAGAGAATGAAGAGTTAGATTTTCCATCACAGGAAATGAATGAATCAATAGATTCTAAGTCTGGTGAAAACTTAAATGAAAATTCCACTTGTCTCGAGAATACCGATCCAGTAGTTGAAGCTGGTGATAATATACAAGAAAATGAAAATCAACAAGTCAGACGCAGTGAGAGAAATAAAGATAAACCAAAATTATCATATAGATTTTTAGAAAAATGTCTTATGAATACCCAAATATGTTTAAGTGAAATTCCCAATACTTATGAGGAAATTAAATTTCGAGATGACAAAGCCTTGTGGGAGGAAGCTATTCAAGATGAACTAAATTCGCATTTTGTAAATAAAACATGGTGCTTAGTGCAAAGGCCTA